CTAGCTTATGCTTGGTCCGCGGTGTATTCGACTGACTGTTTCATTTTACCAAGGATTTGATTTCACTATACAAATCCTGGATTTTACCATAGATGTGCGTGTTTTTTATACAGCTATGATTTTACGTACGGTTGTTTTTCTCTCTCTTGTTACACTAGTCCGGAAACGTGCGCATTATCCTTTTTTTTCAAAGCCGGGTTTTTGGTGATATTTTCATTTTTCTTTCTTTATTTGGGGGGGGGGGGGCCGGGGGGGGCCCGGGGGGGGGTGCATTTGATAGTAAAAACGGTATATAGAAAATGAAATATAAGAAATAGTAAAATAAGCAATGAAAATATCAGAAAACAGAAATAGAAAGTATTGACTCCGAGGTCATAAAATGATTGGGCTATTATATTATAATTCATGCAATTTAAATTTTATGACTCCCTTTCTATTTCTTTTTAATAATCGCTGTAGCCGTAACCTTTGATATTGGTATTGTGTTTGAAGTTTAACACACGGTTTTCATTACCTTTATGGTTTATTCCTTTTCAAAGAATTTGTCAGTTTAACTGATTGTATTTTTTCTCATTATGAATTTAAAAATTTGAACTCTCGGTAGGATATGCAGATATACGAATGAATATATTTTGTATAAATTCATGATTTCCCTTAATACGTTATTTCATGATCATATCTTACTTTTTTAATACACGGGTTGGCAAGCGATCCGATAGGTATTTATTTTTCTTTCATTGGATAAATAATCCTACTTATTTGTATTGATGACGAAAAGGGATGTTACCACAGATGTAGGCCAGCCCTACATGCATTTGCTCCAGTTCCAATGTGTGTTTTCAAAATACCCTTGAAGAGTAATATATATGCATTGCTTTACATCATATTTTACCCTTTTTTCATCTTCAAAATGTTTCATATACCCAGAGACATATATATTTTAATTCTTTGTCAAGAGACAATATAGAAACAATTGCTAAAAAAATATACCACACTAGATAATTAAACTCACACAGACAGACATCCGCGCACGTATATATGTCTCTGATATACCATTTCCGTTGCTGATCCAGGATTTAAAAAAAAAGGGGGAACCACTAAAAAACATCAGGAGTGGGGCATACAGTCTATATGCAATAGACATGTAGTCCCATAAGGGTGGGCGGGTCCACTTGTCTACCCATCCCCTCACCTCAATCCAATTATGTATGGATTAAGGGAGAGGGCGTAGAATGCGTACGCCCCCTTTAATTGGATAATATATCATTGTTTAGCATTAAATCGTACAAGCAATTCTGGACCGCCCCAAATCTTTACAAATTCTTTTGATTCTCGTTTTGAAAACACACTATCAGAATCGGAAACGAAAATAAAATATGAATGCCAGCAACCAACGACAATCACCGAAATACTGCAGCACCTGTGTTGAAGACCCAGTGGCAGATCCAGAACTTTTCATAAGGGGGGCCCGCTGACTGACCTAAGGGGGGGCCCGCTCCAGTCATGCTTCAGTGATTCCCTATATAATCAACCAAATTTTTCCCACGAAAGGGGGGGCCTGGATCCGCCTATGAGACCCATTGGTGTAGGTCTCATTGGGGTCTAAGCGTGACGCGGGATTGCCGATTTTTTATAAGCGTGACACGTGAAAGTCAAATTATTGAAATAATAACGGGAAATGAAGTCTAGCGGGATACGGGAAATGAGAATTGCTTACGTACATAGTGTAGGCGGGATACGGGAATCTGTCAAAACAGTAAGCGGGATCCGGGATCAGAACCACCCAATGAGACCCCCATTGGTGGCTATGGGCTGATTTCTGCACTTTGGTCGGGTTGTTGTCTCTTTTAACACATTCCCCGCTTCCATTCTCAATTTGATCCCCCATGACATGGGACAAACGCATACAGAACCTGGCAGGGTTAATAATGTTTGTTAGTGCCCAGTCCTCCCTGTGACTCGAGACAGTGGTCAATTTAATCCATGACCCACTCTTTGTGACATTTTAAAGATAAACAAAACTTCGTCAGAAAGACACAACAAAGTATATAAGTTCAGCACTGATCCTGATATGAAGCTGTTATCAGTCACAGCAAAACGGTAAACTACAGGCTCAATGCGCCTAAAATGCTGATCTTTTTTTGTTTCAACTCGTCTTTTATTGACATACAATATTTAAGCAATATTTTACACACCACTAAGCACCATCGATCATGTCACTTTGGTTTGAATTGGTTCAGTAGTTTCAGGGAAGCTTTTTTAACTAGACAATAGTCTCTGTCACTCACTTGGATCTACATAAACTGTTATCACAGAGATATGTCTCGCCTTTTTGTAATTTTGATAATGCAAATGTTGAAATTCAAATAGCAATACTTTCACAGGTAAGTTATGCAAATATTCAAAGTCGATGAACCATGACTGAAGGTACATGGCTAAACAATCTCCATGGAATGAGATGTGCCAATGCTAATACAACTGCATACCAAATACCATTGACCTATTAAAAGTCGTTCCCTTTAAACAAACCTAAACACAAACATTAACTTGTAAACTATGTAAAAGTTTCAAAGTCAATGAACCATGATCAGGGGTGGGGCTATATAATCTCCATGGAAACGATACTTGCAAATACCAATACATTTGCATACCAAATATCATTGACTTAACATTAGCAGTTCATCTTAAACTGATCTAATCACAAACTAATACATGTAAACTAAGCAAAAGTTTCAAAGTCAATAGACCATGACTGAGGGGGCGGGGCCAAATATTCTCCATGGAAATGAGATGTGTTAATGCTTATACAACTGAACACCAATTAACATTGGCCTTACCACTCATGGTTCCCCTTGAACTGACCTAATCACAAACTAATACATGTTAACTTAGCAAAATTTTCAAAGTCTATAGACCATGACTAAGGGGGCGGAGCCAAATAATCTCCATGGAAATGAGATATGCCAATGCTTATACAACTGCATACCAAATATCATTGACCTACCACTAGTGGTTCCCCATAAATTGACCTAATCACAAACTAATACATGTAAACTATGAAAAGTTTCAAAGTCAATAGACCTTGACTGAGGGGGCGGGGCCAAATAATCTCCATGGTAATGAGATGTGCCAATGCTAATACAACTGCATACCAAATATCATTGACCTACCACTAGTGGTTCACCATGAACTAGACCTAATCACAAACTAATACATTGTTGACGCCGCCGCCGCTGACGCTGGAAACAGCATACCTATGTCTCGCTTTTTGACTCCGTCAAGGCGAAACAAAAATGTATTTGCATCTTCAAAAATGACCACTCTCTTACATTATAGACCCCATTCTAATTCAGCACTCATATCTTATTTGTTAATCAATGCATATTGCTGATCATTTTGGTTGGTTACAGTTTCTCTTTTAAACTACTATTGAATTTGCCCAAAATGCAAAAATTGATTAAATCACTATTAAAGGGTAATAATTCCTTAAAGACTCATCCAAAAGTGTTTGCTGTGTACAGACTGACCAGAATAAAAATCAACAAAGTTTATACTAGACACCATAAGAACCATTCACCTCAAGTTTGGTAAAAAGTTTACAATGGACAACAAGTAAGTTTATACAGTAGTTCAGTGGCTTTATGGGGATGTGAGCTAAAAGGTTTACAGATGACAAACAATGAACTGAGTATGAAGACACAATTAGTCACTTTTGCCAGATTAGCTTAAAAAAAAAGGATTCTCTCACAACTCATCTATTTTTAATGTGTGTATATGTCAATGTATACATTGTTTATTGTATTAATTTGAGTATTTTCTTGATCCAAAACAAACTTGTTTCATAGGTGGCTTTCAGTTGTCTGCTCTTTGGTCGGGTTGTTGTCTCTTTGACATATTCCCCATTTCCATTCTCAATTTTATTGTTTCATAAGTTTATGACACTTGCCTTCCTCATGTCAGGTCAAACTTGATATCATTATGATGCCAATGATGATTCCAACAGTCTAAATTGTTATCAGGTCAAATATTTGCAATATTACAAAGCCTTAATGCAGATTTTTTTAAAATTTGTTGGACAAAATGATATATTTTAAAAGGGAATAAAAACAAAGAAGGCAAAAACAGCATTATTATTTAAAACACATAAAACTTCTGTATCAGACAATTACTTTATTTTTGGATATATTGTAATGTATGTGTCAGAATTAGATCCTATCAAACTAGCTTAAGCAGTAAATTTTTTTTGTTTTAAATATGTACTACTTTCCAGTATGTTCTTTTTCGACTTAACCCGATTGAGTGGTGTTACATCTTACAAAGTCTATCCAAATTATTTTTGCAAAGAATTCTGCTAAAGCCGGTGCTAGGGGCTGTCTTCAACTTGCAGTAAAGTGAGAGTTTTTTTGCTCCGAGTTGAGGTCTCACTGTGACTTTGAGATGAAGAACAGCAATAAAAGCACTGTTCCTTTGCTTTTTTGTTGTGCATTTACTGATTTTGTGTCATGGATGGATACTTCATATCCTTTGTTTTTCTATTAATATTGAAAATCTCTAAATCCAAGTCACTGCACCATATCCTAGGGACAGGTCCTCAAAATAGTTGTCAAACTGATATGTACTGATAGTAATACAACTTTATATTAAATATCAATGATCTATCACAAGTAATACCTGTCAAACTTACTAACTTAAGCAGCAAACTTAACAATTGTTGATGCCAGAGCCATCATCGCCAGAAAAGGAACCCTTATGTCTCACTTTCCCGGACTTTCATCGCAGGCGAGAAAAACATATATAGTCGATTGATTATAGCTTCTCATACAAAGAATAAAATTATTAATGTTTAAATAACTTATAAATAAAAAGTCAAGTAAAGATAAAGTCACATATACATGTACCGGTACATAAAACTATTTAAGCTTAGTTTTCAGAATGAATTCAATTAATTTGCTTTCATACACTCAAATGGAAAAAAAAAGTTAGGTCTTTAAATAGAATATAGAACTCCTTACACAATTTATTCCTTGTGAAGAAGCTAATGAGGAATTGAAGAAATGAATTAATATCAGTCATTTCTTATGATTCAAAACAGCATCTGTATGTAACTCCTTCTTTCCACTACACAAACTTCCACAATCAGATGAGTCTCCTGCAAAAATTGAAATTGAGAGATGAAATAAAGAATAAAACATTTTATAGCAGTAAAAGGTAAACTGTTTTATCAAAATCAAAACATAAAAACTTTATTTTAATTTAACTACAAATGGTACAGTGGCCAATTACAATGCAAAATATTAATACCGATTTAATTTTACTATTGAAATGTCCCCTATTCAAAAAGAACAAACAAATTTACCACTGTGAAAACTCACCTATTTCACCAGTACTATAAAGACTGTTTAATATCTTTATCCAATCAGTTTTTCCCACTTAAGTGACCAACAGTGAACAAACAATCTGTAAATAAAAAAAAAATTGAAATATTACACTACCAGTAATATTCTTTGAACTGGAAAAAAGTTTTTTGTTCAAATAATGTTCTTTCATCCATTCTGTTATGTCAGGGTCTTGTATAAGGTATGGGTTTTACTCATTGTTGAAGACCATTTGTTGACTTATAGTTGCTTTAATCCTGTCATTTAAACTCTGTTGGATAGTTGTCTCATTGGCAATCATACCACATATATCCTTATTTTATACAATACTTGTTCTGTGCATTTAGTATATGAAATTGTTCGAGAAATTGAAGAAATTGATTTTTTTTTCTCCTCTTAAAATAACTCAGGGTTTTTCTGTGTAAAATGTTTATATATGGCAATGGTATTATGAAACTACAATGTGTTTGAACTGTTCTGTGTAAAATTAAAATTAAATAAAACATGACAATATTGACAGATAGTTTCCAATGTGGCACATATTTTATCTGTCCAAGGACAATTATATATTACTTGAGAAAAATTTGTTGGGTTCTTATATACTTCTATGTATTAAATATCTTACAAAATGTAGTCAAGAAATCCCTAACAATGTAATTTCCCTATAATATCTATTAACAAGCAGCATTATCCATAACTCCTGTAAAAACAATTTGACAGCACAGTTCCAAGACCTTGCTGGTATTAACCTTTGATAATGATTTTAATAACTTCTGACACCAAAAAATGTACAATGTATACCTACCATCAGATGGACGCAAGGTACAAAATATTCTATATCCCCCATCCAGCATGGGTCAAGAAAACAACAACCACATTACCCTGTACAACATGCATTTATCACCAACTTCTGGGGGTATTGCCTAACCTTAGAAAACCAGGTTTATAATAATTTGCCAACCCTGTAAAATTCAATGGCAAACTTTACATGTTATGTAATGTGAGTATGAACACTGCTTTGTGCTAGACAGACGCACTTTAGCCACTTAGTCAGCTTTTTAACATGCCATTTCTACTGTAAACATTCTACAGGAAGACATGAGCGGCTTAAGGTATCAGACATTTCACAGAGATGGATTTTGCTCCCCCCCCCCAATGGAGCTACATTTATGGTTAATTAATATATATGATACAGACTTGTTTCACTCCAAACATTATCTAGCTTTGGGGGTTTTCAACTCTAGGATCTGCATCAGTTTAATTATTGTCCTCAGCTGACCAAGTATTTACTCTAGTTACCCCTCAAAGCAGAGGGTGCTTAGCAGAGAAGCAGCAAAACCATTTTTCAAGTCAATAGATTGACTTGGCCCCAGATCCAACTTATAACTTCCCATGATTCATGCCTGCACACTACAGTTTAGTTACATTTTGTACCTGACATTACTACAAGACATCTGAGGCAGTTCATGTACATTGTACATATACAAACTGTATATATACATGTTTGTGTAAATGTAGAAGCAGCCTGCACTGTTAGCCACTAATCCAATTCCCCAGACTAGTAAAATTTTATTTGGACTAGTTAATTTTTGCAAAACTTTGTTTAACTTTAGACACACAAGGAAAATGTCTGAATATTTGCCTTCGGACTAGTAGTTGGAAAAGATTTTGGTGCAGACTGTCTAAGAAGAGGAATGTACAATATGTATTTCTATTAAATAATTAATTGCAATTTTGCTATATATATACATGTAATATATGAGCTTTTCTATTGTGGTAATGTGAATAAAAAAGATACAGCCAGGGTATATATCAATGTATGATGAGACAGCAACCATATGACACAACTAAATGACATCTAGGCCCTACATGTACATATAAATGTGGGATAGATGATCAGATGTACGGCACATAGTCATCAATATTATGATGGAGTGCGGAAACTGAAAGAAGAAGAAGATGGACACATATATGATAGCCAAGGCAGCTGACCTTGGCTATGGATTATACCTTCAGATAACTACCAGACACACTGCATAACTCAACATCCAAGCTGAACATGTATATTGTTTTGTACATCATGCATGTTAAACACTAATTATTGCATTACATATGGTTGTAAATTGCAAATCACTTTTGCTTCTGAACATCCTTTTCAGAATTAGGGACTATTTCTAGAGTTGGACATGTATTGGGTGGTAAACAATTATTGACGTTGTGTTTCATTAGCATATCAATAAAATAACAACAGTTGAACGGCAAACGCTTTAATGGCAGTTGAACGGCAAACGCCTGAATCTGACAGATAGAGGTCAATTTGTCGACAAAAAAAGTACCCGTATGTAAAATGTTTACGCCCACAAACAGCGCCACCTATAATTTTTTCTACGGCGTCTTTGAGAACGATGTTCCGTTCTGTAGTAAATTAAAACATTAAATTAACTAAAACATAGAAAAGTAAGTGTATAAAACTAATTAAAAGATATATTTGCACATGACTGGTTATGCATGATACGCTGGCAATGTGCGCAATGTCCTTTAATCCAAGATTCAAAATTAGTTTGTTTCCTATGTCAAAATGGCGGATTCCAATGTTTACATTTTTCCATCGATTTGAGAGCTGACACAAATTCGTATCCAATCATTAATTTGCATATTATGTACTGTGTAGGGTAGCTTATCCAATGGGATTTACTGTTATAAAGTGGCTATACGTTACCAGCCATCGTTACAACAGTGCCATGTGTTTTGTGTGTATAGCTCAGGAATGATGTGTATTCAATATTTACGGTAAATAATCAATGTTATGTTCATTATATTTCCATGCATACACAAGTCATAACAGCAAATGCATTTTTTATAGAACTTACTAGGTAAACAGACATGTTTAACTGTCTGCTTTAGCAAAAATTCGTGTAAATAAACCCGATGGGTCGTTATGAATATTCAAGCACAGCAGACAAACACGTGGTAGATTATTGATGTTTGTTTACCTAAATTGCACGCTGTTGTTACTAAATACTTAGAAATAACCATTATCGTGTTATCATTGTTTAACAGCAGATAAAATTAATTTTACAATTGCATTTAACTACTTTCAAGAGTTATATAATACACCTTGCCTAAGAAATCCTTTACTAGGTCCTTAAAAAAAGAGGCTGTAATAATGTACATGATGTAAATTACCATATTTACATTCCAGCATTTTTTTGCATTTGATATATTTCATATACATGTACATGTATGTACATAGAGAACAATAGAGTAAATGAACATACATGGGTTTAATTCCCACCCTAGGTATTAATTTTAATACTCATTAGAGGTTGGAGCAAATAGGGCAGATTGCAATCGACCATAATGTAGTGTCTAAAAATGCTGATTGATGTGGCCAAGTCCTCAACAACCTTTTTTCTAAGTATACAGCAGCTCCTTTAAGGATTAGTAAGGGAACACTTTACATATAGTCCAGTGGCTAAGTCCTGTCTTTTTTGTCTCTATTATTTCCTTATTTATATTATTATATTTCTTATATTCTCTTGTACATGTAGTAAGCTAAAAAGCTATCATTACTCTTTTTCCTCATCTGCCTGATAACAATGAAATGTATTCATTGTTGATGTCTGTAAAGTGACTTATAATTTAACTGCTAACAGACATTTGGACTCTGGTGGATAGTTTCTATACTGTTATCTCATTGGCAATCATACCACATCTCTTTATTTTAGTACAGGTTAAGTATTTAAAGTAAGTGACTAACAAACATTAAATCATTTGAAAGAAAAATTCTGCAATGATTTCAGTTTACATATATCAACAATAAGATTTGGTTGTATAAATTGTGTCATTATGTTTATAATGACCACTGTAATTGTGAACTGCCATGACTGTCTTGTACAAAATATATTTGAATAAGTTCCCTAATGAATAGTATATAGATGTTTAAAAAAACAAATGTATGTACTAGTTCCAGATCTATCAATTCAAAAATAATTGATGTTTTTTTTAATTAATTGAATAATAACAACTTATTGCAATAATCATGATAATCATGATATTAAAATACAAACTAGCATTCTTATATGTGATACATATATAACTTAATGCAGCTTATTCTGAAATTGTAAGGTATGTCATAAAAAAGAGATTTTTTGTAAAAGTTACCAAAATTGTCTGTATTTCAACCACATTTAGGCCTAGGAACCTTAAATTTTTAAGTGTAGAGGTTGACAAGTCATGACTGTAAATTCAGATATTATCATGAGGTTTTTATTAAAGTAAATAATGCGATTAAATTGATTATCTCAATAAAAAGAACTCTCATTCTGATTTGATACTATGAGATTTTTTCTGATATCAGAAAAATAAATATCTCATTGTTGTCCATTCTTCAAAAAATTTCTGAACATACTGTACATGTATTGAAGTCAGCTTTGTTTTTGTCTGAGACTACTATAACATGGGAAGTGACCAATCTCTATGTTAATTGTTATAGTAGTCTCAGGTTTTTGTTTTGTAGTTCAATTGACTATGCATTTTGGAGCAGTTAAATATGAATTTGGATTAAATTTGAAGTTGATTCAGTATATTTTATGACATAATAACACTCTTTTATTTAAACAAAGCATTTTCAGACTTTATTTACAGACCAGCTTAGCTAATCATTCATTATTCAATCAATAATTTAATTAAAAGACTCAACAGTTGTTTGTAGGACTTATGAATTCAAATATAAGGGAAAAAATCAAAACTTGAAGTAATACATGCAATAGGAATTATGAGAACTGCATGATATCAGATTGCAATACAGCTTTTTGTTCAGTTTTTTCTTTGTGTTGATTATAATGTTTTAAATCCATTTCTGGCTTTTTGGATGTTCAGATTTTTTCTCTTGATTAAGAGCGAGCAACGGAACTTGTACATCTTATATAGTTTCTTATCTCGGGGGTGGATCAAGCAAATTTTCAAAGAGGAGGGGGCATGTATTGTCTACATTTTATTTTTTTCCATATTGTATTTTAATGTAATGCAAAGTTAAATTCTATTGTAACACAAGTTCTGCTGACAAATGGCTGATAAACCCCTCTTGTATGTAATTATTTGGCATGAAATGAAATATGTTTTTTCTGTATATGGAAATTAGGAATAATCCACCCTCTCTTTATAAAAGACCTGGATCTGCTTAAAAGTTCTTGCTTTTCTCAGAATTTTCCATTGTTACATCAGGAATAAAGGCTACCAATAATCATGCTTGACAATCATTGAGGTCACACATAAAGAACCCATCTCTTTGCAGATCATAGTAGAAAAACAAAGATACAATGTAGTTGGTAACATAAATGTATTTAAAAATATCAAGAGAAACATTCCCATACAGACTCTCTGTCAATAAGTTATTTTTCCACTCTTAACAGTGAAATCTTAAATATGTAAATTGATAGGCAAGCCTCACATCTTGAAAAATAAAATGTCTGTAGGAAAGAACTATTGTTTCACAATTGATGCTGTGTTAGAATTTATAATATCACTCTTTTTTCTCCATATGATCAGCATAAAAAGTGACAAGTTCTTCAGTCTAAATAACTTTGTTAAATCTCATTTCTGATGGAACATTTTCAGTGCACCAGATTAACAACTTTCTATGTTAGATACTTATTTAAATATAAAAATTCAAGTCTAATTTTAGAGTGAAATTTTAATATATTTAAACAAACTGTTCTAAACAACCAACATGTACAAACACTGAGTTTATTTTCATATCCTTTCTAAGAATATTGATACAAAGAAAGTAAAACAAAGACTTGTATCATTCCATCTACCAAAAGGTTGTTTGAGAATATACAAATAAGTCCAAGTTTCAGAGAAAAGTCAGTTATCTATAATTTTCTTCTTTGGAAGTTTTCAAAAACCTGTTTTAGGGTACTTGAAAAAATGCCATATTCAAACATTCCATGACTATTTTAATGTTACAAGAGTAGAGGAACATAAAATATTGAATGGTTATTCAAGAAAGTGTCGAAATATAACTACAATCATTAATTTTACTCTAATTTACTGTTGTGAACTTGCAGTTTCCTACGACGCGTGTACGGAGTTATCTCCCGTTGATCTCCGCTTCGCCACGAATAAGCTGACACAATTGCGTATCCGGGGAATTTATGATCTATAATTAATATATAAGATGCAGAAAATGGTTTTACTTCATATTTTATACCCCTCCATACGTTACCAAACCCATTTAAGAAATGATTTGGGATTTTCCGTAGACCTACGCAAATTTTCCAAAAAAAATTTCAACTTCCATCGTTGTTTTAGATTACTTTTATAACACCTTTCATAAATAAGTATACATAATAATGAAGCTTATTCACTCAAGATTTGGACCCTACAAGTTTTATTTATGTACGAGTTACAATTAGACGATACGAGGTAAAAAACCAAGAGGTGTACACGTTCACAAGAAAACGGTAAACTCTGACCTTTTATCACGTGACCAATGTCTTGAACTTAGACGCCACATGCAACATGTGCAACTGAAAACTCGTTATTTTGTTTACCGATCTTACTTTTTCAACATATAATATCAAGTAACAATAATATATCAATTATATTTTAAGTTATAACTTAAAAAAATATGAAAGTATATCTTTTATACGCCAGAAAATTGAAAAAGTTGAAATCCCCATTATCTTGGGATTTCAATTTTAACATTTTTCAATAGCACAACTTTTTTGCAGTCAGATTTAACATATTTGCACCGTGTGATTATAATAGGCATATAGATAAATCGAAAGATCATGATCTAAAATAAATTATGGCGAAGATACAAGTCATTATTCTTCATACGATCTGCATAACCAACCTTTTTGTAAACACAAAACTAGATCTTCCCCGGATCGCCGCCATGTTTGCATTAGATTAATGAGTTCTTTCCCCTTACTGATTTCGATCTGGAAATCGTATCTGGCGCTTTCAGGGGAGATAATATTTGAGATTCTTCGTCTTACAGACGCTTGAGAGTAGAAATGGTTAAACTTGATTCTGAATCAAAGGGCTATCCGATTGTCTCCAACTGACGCGACAGGCAAACGTTAATCCACCATTTCTACATGAGGAAATGCCTGTACCAATTCAGGAATATGACACTTATTTTCCATTCGTTTGATGTGTTTGAGCTTTTGATTTTGCCATTTGTCAAGGGATTTTTTGTTTTGAATTTTCCTTGGAGCTCGGTATTTTTTTTTTTTATATTTTCTTTTTACAAACGAAGTTAGTCACAAGTGATTCGGCTAGAAATGGCGATACTAATTTATTAACAATTTATTATACAATGTATCTTGTGTCTTATGTAAAATGTAAATGTAATATGAGGCAGGCGTTACCTGTGAAAGGGGACGAAGTCTGTATGAATTATTTTTTTTTAATTCAAACATATGTTTTAACTTCAAAATCTGTTCAAAAAGAACGGAAATACCCTTACGTTTCCGATTTCGGTTCTGTTGTTCGGAATTTTAGTTGTGACGTTATTTATATTATGACGTCATATTCAATGTAAACAAAGAAACGCTATCAGGTAACGTTTTTTCATATCAAGTCATTCAAGGAATTATTAAAAATGGAATTGGTATTGCGTTCCTTCCTATATTTTACTAGACTGATAAATATATATTTTACTCAAAGACTCATGCAAACGAGACCGGAAAAAGGAAGTAGATTTCTGCGCAAATGCGGGAAAATAAAAAAGTCTGAAAATAAAAAAGTTAACGATTTTGAGTTCATTAGTACAATGAAAATTTCGGGAAATTTTCCCGATTTTTTTTTTTTTTTTTTTTTTTATTGATTTTTCTACCGTAATAGGGGACTTCGTCCCCTTAATATGAGGCAGGCATTACCTGTGAAAGGGGACGAAGTCTATATAAATTTTTTAATTCAAACATATGTTAAGTTCTAAATTTATCTGTTAAAAAAGAAACGGAAATACCGTAACGTTTCCGATTTTGGTTCTGTTGTTAGGGATTTTAGTTATGACGTCATATTCAATGTTCAATGTAAACAAAGAAACGCTATCATCAGGTAACGTTTTTTCATATCAAAGACTAATTACAAATGAATTTGTTATTGTGTTCCTTCCTATATTTTACTGGACTGATATATATTTCACTCAAAGTCTCATGACAAACGAGACCGGAAGAAGGAAGTAGATTTCTGCGCAAATGCGGGAATTAAAAAAAGTTACAAAAAAAAAGTTAACAATTTTGAGTTCATTAGTACAATGAAAATTTCGGGAAATTTTCCCGATTTTTTTTTTTTTTTTTTTTTGTTGATTTTTCTACTGTTATAGGGGACTTCGTCCCCTTATTATTGCGTTCCATTTCGGAATTTGATACTACTACTGTAGTACCATCGAATATCAGTTATCTTGTGTCTTATGTAAAATGTAAATGTATTATTGCGTTCCATTTCGGAATTTGATACTACTACTGTAGTACCATCGAATATCAGTTTAAATTAATCTTGCTTTATTTCATAAAAGTTATAAATTATTTATTCGATACTGCAGTATTAAAAACAAAATTAAAATCAAGTTTAAAGACAATATTTCTAAAATAACATGCAGACAAATGTTGAAATCTACAATAAAGACGAATTGTATTTAGAGTAGGCACATATATATGTATAATAAAAAATAAACATGACATCTGCAGGGGCGGATCCAGCCATTTTTAAAAGGTGTCATTACGGTATCAGTGGTAAAATCAATAGATGGATTGCCAGCTTCTTATCCCATCGAACGCAAGCAGTCGTAGTGGATGGAGAGAGCTCATCACATATTGATGTAGAATCTGTAGTTCCCCAAGGCTCTGTACTTGGTCCTGCATTATTCTTGTTTTACATCAACGACATGCCAGATGGGGTCAAATCCACTGTCCGCCTATTTGCTGATGACACAATAGCATATCTTACCATCTCATCTGACAAAGACTCAAACGACCTTCAAAGCGACCTGGACAAACTGGGAACATGGGAAGTCAAATGGAAAATGTCCTTCCATCCGGACAAATGCAACGTTCTTACCATCAGCCGCAAAAACAACACCATTCCAACATCGAACACATTGCATGGCCACAAACTTGAACCTGTCAAGAGTGCTAAATACCTTGGATGCACCTTCACATCCGAACTGAAGTGGAATGATCATATCAATAACATATGTAACAAAGCCAATAGGATAATAGTCTTCCTTAAGAGAAATCTAAACATAGGAGCAACTTCAGTCAAAGAAAATGCATACAAAAGCCTCGCAAGACCAATAATAGAGTATGCAAGTCCAGTATGGGACCCATACTTTAAAACCGAAATAGATCGTCTAGAAATGGTCCAGAGACGAGCAGCAAGATATTTTTCCAACAAACACCATAATCACTCAAGTGTCAGCAAAATGATTGAGCACCTGGAATGGCCATCTCTGGAAAGAAAGGCGAAAAGACGCTAGACTAACTATGCTCTATAAAATAGAAAACAACAAAGTGGCTGTAACTAAGGAAGGTCGTCTTATGCAACCAACACGACTGTCGAGGAACATGCACGACAAAAGTTTCCAAATTCCAGCATCCAGAAGTGATTACAGGAAGTACTCATTTTTCCCGAGAACGATCAGGGATTGGATTGGGAGCTCTCCCTCCTGGGGTAGCATCAGCACCGTCAGTCGAGGCCTTTAAAGCCTCGCTGACAAAGCTGAACTAAATTATCAAATTGGGGGGTGGGGGGAGGGGGTCTGTATGCGCACCTAAGTCATGGCATAATAATCAGCTCGTTGATTGTGGCCATTATCAGGCAGAAGCAGAAGAAAGCCACCGGGTCTCAAGCGTACGCCTATTTACAGAAACAAGTCCTTCCAATGTTTACATCATTTTCTTGAAAGCTATCTAAACGAAAATAGGTGAATAAAGACTAGAGTTACTCGAGACATCTTAAAAAACATCAAAATATACAAACATAAAGTAACTACCAACAAGACACCATAAGATTATTGGAAATTTAATGATATCAAGTCGAGTTATAATCGGATTATTTTAGTCATATGATTGATGGTCACTCATATCTAAAAATGTACTTTTAAATAATTTCAGTGTATAAGAAATCTGATTGAAATGAACTGTCAGAATCACTCTGCTTAAATCTATTGTGAATTGTCATGAAAACTATATATTTCATCAATACAGTGTTCTAGTCAATAGACAATAGACAAAGATCTATGGCAATTGAAACTTTTAATATAGTCAATAAATTAGCACCTGTCTGTTTACATGATTTATTAAATATAAAAGATTGTAAATATTCTTTCAGATATAGTAATATACTGGATATACCACATGTAAAAACTACACAGTTTGGTAAGAAAAGTTTTAAATTTGCAGCTGCTACTCTGTGGAACAGCCTACCTGACCATTTCAGGACTGAAAACAGTTTTTCTCAATTTAAGAGCCTTATACAGTCTTGGAATGGTTCAAAATGTTGTTGTTCTGCTTGTAGATAAGCTTTATCATATTTTAGAAGTTGCTCTAACATGTTATTATGCCTTAAATTTTTGCATGTGTGCTATATTCTATTTGTGCTTAATTTTAGTTGTGCTTAATTTTTAGTTGTGCTTCAGCTTTGGCTTTAGATATGTATTTTAAAAGTGCTTTGCATGTATTTCGATATGACTGTGCTGTTATATATCCTGTCTGCATGTTGTGTGTTTTAATGTTGTGTTTGTGTTACCTTATATTCGGTAAAAAGCTCTTAAGAGCTTATGTTTGTATTGTTATATGTGAACCGAATCAAAATAAAACTTTCGTATTCGTATTAGTCAGGATTTCAAGTATATAAAATAAGGGGGTGCACTTAAACATGATCACCCTTTAATAAAAAGGGACAATAACTATACATTTGCATTATCAGACAAATCAGAAATCAAGAAATTACATCTTTCATTGAGCACATGTGTTATATTAATAGACCTGCCAACTATCCGATTTTGGGTGGTTACTATCCCATTTTCATTCATGTAATGTTCCCCTCCGCCTATAAGTTATAGCCTAGGTCATTCATATTTGATATATAGAATGATTGTTAGGTGTAGAGTACATGCCTTTCTAATAGGGTGTACCTGAACTTTGCCTTATTTTCATGGTTCATTGGCCTACATTATATTTTTCTTTATAGGTTTATACTCCTCATACTTCAAGTAGAAGGTCAACTTTTTTCTATCTATAGGTGTACATGGCTTTTCTTACCTTGATTTAATTTTCATAGCTTATTGGTCAACATAAATTTTTCATGATTAGGTTTGTTCCTCAAATTAAATAAGCAATAAGTCAACTTAATTTGGTTTGTAGAATTATTTTAATGTGAACTTGTCTAGCTAGCTGTCACAGTTTATCTTTGACTCCATTTCCTGTTTCATTGGTCAATGTTAAGTTTTCATAACTAGGTCTGAATCTCAGATAAATTTTTTGTACTTTAAACTACATGTATAGGTCATTTATATTTGGAATGATTGTTAGGTGCACAGTATATGTCTTTCTGAGAGGGTTAAGCTGACTATTACCCCATTTTCATTGTTGATTGGTCAACTTTAAGTTTTCATGATTAGGTTTAACCTGGCTTATCTTACCTTGACCTCATTTTCGTGGTTCATTGGTCAACATTTGTTTTCATAATTAGGCCTGTGTCTCTCAGATACTATAAGCTATAGGTCAAATATATTTGGTGTATAGAATGATTGTAAAGTGTACATGTCTAAGGTGGTAGTGTTCAACTGACCTTGATCTTATTCTGAATTCTAAAAGAGAACTAGATGAAAATGTACTAAAGACAGTTGCAAAAATATGGATTTTCTGTAGATAAGTGGTAAGAAATGCATTTGAATAGAAATATATCGACTATGTTTTATCTTAAGTGTGAACAATATTTTATAATGCAATAAAAATACATCTTATACAATATAAATTTATCTTTTAATAATTTATGTTTTATCTTAATTTCCATTTACATTTTGTAGTATGTTTGAGGCCTATAATGAAATGGTAAATGAACCTTATAAAGATGTATAGTTATGAACGTGCAATGATGGAAGACACTTGTCAAATGGACAGTTTAGAGGACTGGGTACCAGTTAAACCAGGTCTCTTCAATACTGATGCAGAATCTTCCAAACGTTTTATATTCATGGTCAGCTGGAATGATGTATACAGAAAAGTTGCCATTACATGTCGCCAACACAACCGAGTGGCTAGTGACATAGAGGACAGTCAGAGTAGAAGTGGAATGTTTTCATTCAGTGAACTCAAGGCAATTCATGAGATACTGTGTCTGATTCATCCATCACTTTTGTCATATCTACCTCCATTACCTGATGAACCTCGATCCTTATGGGCATACCTAGGATACACAGGACCTGATTATGACTATGAAGAAATTTGTGTCCAACTAGAGAGATATTTTGTTAGAGCATTAGATACATGTAAAGAACATCTACTAATGACAACATTATTTGAAGAACCTGATACCAGGGAATATTTTGACAATATGAGTGAACTAAGAAGACAAAATCTTGAAGGTGATGTCTTAAAATGTGAAGAAAGGTTAAAAAATGTGATATTTTTAAGGACAAATGCCAGCAATATGCATGACATGAAAGATGTATATGAAAGTGAAGATGATGCTGTGATGAAGCTGCATGAGTCTTTAGCTGTGTTGTATAATTATCAACAACAGCCATTTTTGGACCTGAGAGCCATATCTCGTTATAAAGTAGCAGAAGCTAAAGAACATTTAGAGAATTCTGATCTTGGTGAAAGGTTTAAAAGACAATATGCTACTATATTTTCTGAATGGCAAACACAATTAGAACAGGCCATGGAAAATATTCAACAATTATACATAAAGTATTATAGTACAAGTTGCCAAATATATCAAGGTAATTAAAATTGTCTTTAATAGACATGTATATTTTTAATTAGACAGCTAATATTTGGAAATTGTCCAAAAATTGTCATTAGTGGTAAACTACATGTATTTAAAAAAAAAAAAACAATATTTTATTCAGTGAAGTAAATAATGCTACATAAGATAATATGTTTAGATATAAAAACATTGGATCCAGAAACAAGCAACATTGCTTATTTTAATCTGTCGCTAAACTGGTAAACTATCGAAGTATAACTTCATCTCTTTTTATTTGTGGATTGCATAACATCTACTGGCACATTTTACATTCAGATTTATGATAAGAATGAGTTAATGGCATAGGAGTCGCTTGAATTAAACTAACATAATTATTTACAAGGAAACAGTATACAAGAAGACAAGTCATTCCCATTAGCGAAGAAGAAAATGCTCATTTCACATCCTTACTTTTTATGCCCCCGCTGTAGCGGTGGGGGCATTAAGTTTTACCCTTGTCCGTCTGTACGTACGTATGTCCCAAAATTGGTTTCCGTTCTCTAACTTTAGTTTGCCTCAACCAAATGTTATGAAACTTATACACAATGCTTATTACCACAAAACACAGATCAAGTTTGAATTTTGGTAGGGTCACTTTTACCGTTCTAGAGTTATGCCCCTTTACAAATGGAAAAATTGCAAAATTTTTATTTTCTTCTAAATATCAAGTAATTTTTATACGACTGCAAAAAAATTTTTGTGGTCGTATATTGGTATGACGTTGGCGTCGTCGGCGTCGTCGTCCGAAGACACATTAGTTTTCGCACTCTAACTTTAGTTTAAGAGAATGGATCTCAATGAAATTTTACCATAAGGTTCAATACCACAAAAGGAAGGTGGGGATTGATTTTGGGGGTTATGGTACCAACAGTTAAGGAATTAGGGGCCAAAAAGGGGCCAAAAATAAGCATTTTTGTAACTTCCAGACATAACTTGTGTGTAAATGTATGGATCTCTCTGACATTGTACCACAAGGTTCCATATCACAAAGGGAATGCAGGGATTGATTTTGGGGGTAATTGCCTCCAAATTTTAGGAATTAGGGGCCAAAAGGGGCAAAAAACAAGCATTTTTCTAGTTTCATGACAATAACTTGTGTGTTAGTGTATGGATCTCTCTGACATTGTACCACAAGGTTCCATATCACAAAGGGAATGCTGGGATTGATTTTGGGGGTAATTGCCTCCAAATTTTAGGAATTAGGGGCCAAAAAGGGGCAAAAAACAAGCATTTTTCTAGTTTCATGACAATAACTTGTGTGTAAGAGTATGGATGTTTATGAAATTGTACTACAAGGTTCCATATCACAAAGGGAAAGCTGGAATTGAGTTTGGGGGTAATTGACCAAAAAGCTTAGGAAGAAGGGGCCGAAAAGGGGCCAAAAATAAGCATTTTTCTAGTTTCCAGACAATAATTTGTGTTCAAGTGTATGGATCTCTCTGAAATTGTACTGCAAGGTACCATACCACAAAGTGAAGGCTGGGGTTGATTTTGGGGGTAATTCCCTCAAAATTTTAGGAATTAGGGGCCATAAACGGGCAAAAAAACAAGCATTTTTCTAGTTTCAGGACAATAACTTGTGTGTAAGTGTATGGATCTTTATGAAATTGTACTGCAAGGTTCCATATCACAAAGGGAAAGCTGGGTTTGAGTTTGGGGGTAATTGCCCTAAACGTTTAGGAATTTGGGGCCAAAAAGGGGCCAAAAAACAAGCATTTTTCTAGTTTCCAGACAATAACTTGTGTTCAAGTGTATGGATCTCTCTGAAATTGTACTGCAAGGTACCATACCACAAAGGGAAGGCTGGGATTGAGTTTGGGGGTGGTGAATCATAAGGGGGTTCAAAAAATTTGGGGAAGGATTTTTTTTTCCTTTTTTTCTTTAGAATTTTCCATTTTAAATTGGTTATTTCTGATTTATATATAAAAGCAAATAATAATGATATGGTTTGAATAGGTAAATTAAAAATTTTTAAGTTCTTAGACCACTTTCATTCTGTGTCAGAAACCTATGCTGTGTCAAATATTTAATTACAATCCAAATTCAGTGCTGTATCAAGCTTGAATGTTGTGTCCATACTTGCCCTAACTGTTCAGGGTTCGACCTCTGCAGTCGTATCAAGCTGCGCCCCAGAGAGCATTTTATCAAAATTGGAGTTATCTTCCTTTGTCCATGATTATAGTTGAATCAACTACAATCAATGCTTTATACAATGCAATGTTTAATTTTGACTTCCACTGATAAAACACAGATCAAGTTGAATTTGGGTAGTGTCACTTTAACCATTATTGAGTTATGCCCCTTTATAAATCAAAAGATTGCAAAATTTTTAGTTTCCATTCTGTAACTTAAGTTTGCCCCAACCAAACAATATGAAACCTATACACAATATTCATTACCACAAAACTAAGATCAAGTACAAATTTTTTGTTTCCGTTTTCTAACTTTAGTTTGCCTAAACCAAATGTTATGAAACTTATACACAATGCTTATTACTACATAATACAGATTAAGTACGAAATTTGGTGGCAACACTTTTACCATTCTTGAGTTATGTCCCTTTACAAACATAAAAATAGCTGAATTTTTCGTTTCCGTTTTCTAACTTTAGTTTGTCTCAACCAAATGTTATAAAACTTAAACCCAACCGTTCTAGAGTTATGCATGTTTACAAATAGAAAAATTGCTGAATTTTTAGTTTCTGTTCTCTTCTTAAGTTAGCCTCAACCAAATGTTATGGGACTTACACACAATGCTTATTACCACAAAACTCAGATCAAGTTCAAATTTGGGTAGCGTCACTTTTACCGTTCTTCAGTTATGTCCCTTTATAACTATATGTTATGCAAGCGGGGGCATCATCTGTGTCCACATGTGGACACTATCCACATTTATTTGCTTCAAACCAGCTTAGGTTCATGCATTCAAAGCAAAACCACTACCATAGACCACCAAGAATCTTATACCTAGAAATGCAATCGAATGTTATATTCTTTTATTTAGCCATGCTCAGTAGAATGATAGAAGATAAGAGGTTGTATGGAAAAACTGCTTTTGAATTAATAGGATCTGAACGACTGCTCAGGTTAGTTTTAATACTTATAACATGTGTATAAAACCTGTTTTGGTTTGTATGAGGCATATTTATATGTTAACTTTTTACTGCAGAAGAATATTGTAATATTATTAGGAAATAGATACTGTTAGATTTGAAACAAACATATGATTATTGAATCATGCTTAGATTTAACATGCAAAAAACATGTATTTAACATGTTTCAGCTATTTGGCCTTTTCTGTTCAAAGTACAATTTTTGTAGAAATAATTGAGACAGGTGTAATAAAAAAACCAGAACTAGTAATTATAGATTTTCGTAAGAATTTGTCATAAATAAAGATTCATTGATTTATGTATTTGACATTGTAAGTGGTTTTATTTTTGTATTACCTCACAAAAGAAATAGATTAAAAGTTCTTTTCCTTTATTTACCACTTTTATATTCTAGGATACAAGAAGAATTGAGTACAGAGAAACTGCATTTACTGAATAGTGAAAAGAAGTTGTTAGTTCTAGAAAAAGATAAAGTTTTTGAAGAGGTAACTTTGTCCTTATATCAAAGAAAATACATTACATCCCATGCTAGGATACTTTTTGCACTTTTTGTAAACAAAGACCCATTTGAATGGGAATGATGATGCTGCTTGATTAGGGCTGTCTTATGATTTAATTTTAATGTTTGTGAAAAGGGTACTTTATTTAACCTCAAGCACCTACAGTAAAACATTTCTAACACCTATTTGAATCATAAATATTTTTTCTGGAAACTTGGTTTAACTGATATTTTTCATATATAGAAAAACAAATTTAGGAATCAGGATATAGGTTATAGGTTTGCTTAGTTTTCATATTGGGAAAAATAACACCAGTACACTTTTTCAGTCATAAAGGTGGTATGAGGTGTAATCACTGTATAAACCAGCTCTATTGTCAAAGTATTTGTAGTTGTATGAAAGCCATTCTAGGTTTCTTTTTTTTAGCTCACCTGGCCCAAAATGTCCAAGTGAGCTTTTCTCATCACTTGACGTCCGTCGTCGTCTGTTAACTTTTACAAAAGTCTTCTCCTCTGAAACTACTGGGCCAAATAAAACCAAACTTGGCCTTAATCATCCTTAGGGTATCTAGTTTAAAAAATGTATCTGATGACCCCGCCCATCAACCAAGATGGCGGCCATTGCTAAAAATAGAACATGGGGGTAAAATGTAGTTTTTGGCTTTTATCTCTGAAACTAAAGCATTTAGAGCAAATCTGACTGGTTAAAAAATGTTGATCAGGTCAAGATCTATCTGCCCTGAAATTTTAAGACGCATCAGACAACCTGTGGGTTGCTGCCCCTGAATTGGTAATTTTAAGGAAATTTTGCAGTTTTTGGTTATTATTTTGAATATTATAATAGATAGTGATAAACTGTATACAGCAAAAATTTTCAGCAAAGTAAGATCTACAAATAAGTCAACATGACCAAAATTGTCAATTGACCCCATAAGGAGTTATTGCCCTTTAAAGTCAATTTTTTTCACAATTTTTCGTAAATTTTTGTAATCTTTTACAAAAATCTTCGTCTCTGAAACTACTGGGCCAAATTAAACCAAATTTTGCCTAAATCATCGTTAGGGTATCTAGTTTAAAAAATTTATCTGATGACCCCGCTCTTTAACCAAGATGGTGGCCATGGCTAAAAATAGAACATGGGGGATAAAATGCAGTTTGGCTTATATCTCTGAAACTAAAGCATTTAGAGAAAATCTGACATGGGGTAAAAAATGTTCATCAGGTCAAGATCTATCTTTTTTTTTGAAATTTCAGACACATCAGACAACCCGTTGTTGGATTGCTGCCCCTGAATTGGTAATTTTAAGGTTGTTTTGCAGTTTTTCGTTATCATCTTGAATATCATAATAGATAGAGATAAACTGTAGACAGCAAAAATGTTCAGCAAAGTATGCTCTACAAATAAGTCAACATGATCAAAATTGTCAATTGACCCCTTTAAAGTCAATTTTTCACAATTTTTCGTAAATTTTTGTAATCTTTTACAAAAATCTTCTCCACTTAATCTACTGGGCCAAATAGAATTAAACTAAGCCAAAATTTTCAATAGGGTATCTTGATTGAAAAATGTATCCGATGACCCTGTCATCCAACCAGCATGGCCTCCATGGCTAAAAAATAGAACATAGGGGTTTACTATAGAAGTCTATGGGAAAATTGTAAAAAAACAATTTCAAATGGTCACAACTTGAAAACTAATTTAATTATGATAAGGGGTCTTCAGTAACTATTGTAAGACTACAATGGGATGACTTGCTTTAAGTTAAACTACTGGGCCGAATTAAACCAAACTTGGCCTCAATCATTATTAGGGTATCTAATACTATTTATTATGATTTTAACCTTATTTTACAGTAGATACAGGTGAGCGACACAGGCTCTTGAGAGCCTCTAGTTTTAAATATACAGGCAAGGTAAAGTGTCTCAATCTAAATTATGGACATTTGAAGTAGTTGCTCATGCATTTTTGAGTTACAACTTCATAATTTTAGCAAAATATAATTAGTTTGTCAAAATAAGAGTATGATTCATGTAAATTTTCAAGTTTCATATGGAATGGGAAAACATTGTTTGTAATTAAAATCAAATGCACACAGATTTGAAACTCAATATAAATACATCTGAAACCTTTGAACTGAATCAATAAATTATCTTAAAAGTTTTCTTATTAGTAAGTATCAGATATGCAACTTTTGAAAAGATTGGTTGTCTGTAAACAGAAGCTGTCTATTCATTCTGTGACCAAAATCCTTGACCTAGAACTCCCAATGGTTGAAAAAAAAGTGAATGCCTGCAGTCAAAACCGCTCTAAATGTTTTAAAAATATCATTAAAAGATGCCCAGTTTGTTAACAAAATAATTGGACACCCTTTTGCAGTATCTCAAATCATTTGCTTTTGTTGTAAAATAAAAGAAGGAACCTATTTTGGAATGTGATGTAGTACCCCTAGTACCCCTACCATGTACACAAAAAAATCTCATACTTATTATAGTTCATTCCATGACCTTATAAGAACTTTAAATAAATGCCTGTTATATATTTTACAGATAGCTAGTTTAGATGAAACTCCTAATGTACAAAAACAATTGGAAAAGTTAGAAACAAAGGCATATGAATGGCATATCAAGATCTGCCAGCAACAAATGAAAATTCTAGATGAAGAAGAGAAGATCTGTCAAGCCAAAATGGAGGCATTAAAGAAAAATCTAAAAGGTTAAAGAATTTAGGGTTTGGAATAAAAAGATTAGTCTGCTTTAGATTTTGTCAATATGAAAACAAGTGGGTCAATATGTGCAATTCATTTCAGGTAGGCGACAATGGTAACCTTTTCTTCCATTCCTCTGTCCCTATTGTAAACTTGGATATGAATGATAGTTTGTTTTCAAAAGCTGAGGCATTTTCACAGATGTGGTTAAATTTTCTGGGTACGAAGTGTGATTAATTTTTTTTACAAATTTGGAAAACCTGAAAAGACTCCATGTGATGCAGCTTCAGCAAGTAAAAAGTCCACTTTTTTCACACAGTAAAATTCTCTGAAAATTCAGTTCTTATCAAGCATTTAGTAACTCCTAAGTTTTACATCTTTATTGTACAGTCTTCTGCTCTTCAAAAAAACACAAATGGTTAATTAGCTCAGTTAATTACTAATGTCCAATATCATTGCATACAGATTTTTATACGACCGCAAAAAAATGTTTGTGGTCGTATATTGGTATGACGTTGGCGTCGTCGTCGTCCGAAGACACATTAGTTTTCGCACTCTAACTTTAGTTTAAGTGAATGGATCTCAATGAAATTTTACCATAAGGTTCAATACCACAAAAGGAAGGTGGGGATTGATTTTGGGGGTAATGGTACCCACAATAAAGGAATTAAGGGCCAAAAATAAGCATTTTTGTAACTTCCAGACATAACTTGTGTGTAAGTGTATGGATCTCTCTGACATTGTACCACAAGGTTCCATATCACAAAGGGAAGGCTGTAATTGATTTTGGGGGTAATTGTCTCCAAATTTTAGGAATTAGGGGCCAAAAAGGGGCAAAAAAGCGAGCATTTTTCTAGTTTCATGACAATAACTTGTGAGTAAGTTTATGGATCTTTATGAAATTGTACTACAAGGTTCCATATCACAAAGGGAAAGCTGGAATTGAGTTTGGGGGTAATTGCCCAAAAAGTTTAGGAATAAGGGGCCAAAAAGGGGCCAAAAATAAGCATTTTTCTAGTTTCCAGACAATAACTTGTGTTCAAATGTATGGATCTCTCTGAAATTGTACTGCAAGGTACCATACCTCAAAGAGAAGGCTGGGATTGATTTTGGGGGTAATTCCCTCAAAATTTTAGTAATTAGGGGCCATAAAAGGGCAAAAAAACAAGCATATTTCTAGTTTCAGGACAATAACTTGTGTGTAAGTGTATGGATCTTTATGAAATTGTACTGCAAGGTTCCATATCACAAATGGAAAGCTGGGTTTGAGTTTGGGGGTAATTGCCCTAAACGTTTAGGAATTTGGGGCCAAAAAACAAGCATTTTTCTAGTTTCCAGACAATAACTTGTGTTCAAGTGTATGGATCTCTCTGAAATTCCACTGCAAGGTACCATACCACAAAAGGAAAGCTAGGATTGTGTTTGGGGGTGATGAATGATAAGGGGGTTCAAAAAATTGGGGGGGATTTTTTTTTCCCTTTTTTTTCTTTAAAATTTTCCATTTAAATTGGTTATTTCTGATTTATATATAAAAGCAAATAATAATGATATGGTTTGAATAGGTAAATTAAAAATTTTTAAGTTCTTAGACCACTTTCATTCTGTGTGAGAAACCTATACTGTGTCAAATATTTAATTACAATCCAAATTCAGTGCTGTATCAAGCTTGAATGTTGTGTCCATACTTGCCCCAACTGTTCAGGGTTCGACCTCTGCGGTCGTATCAAGCTGCGCCCCAGCGGAGCATTTTATTTTAAATTTCTATAGTTGTGTTCCTAAATTTGAGGCGCATTAGAGGTATTGACCCAAGTGCAATATAAGTATATAAGCCCAAAAAAGGCTTCATCATACCTTCTTTTTGACCAAAGTAGTGATATGGATTTGTAAAGTAATCTTCTTCTTTTTTACTATTGCATAGGCAGTAAATGTTCTTATTTCTTAAAATAATCAATTTCCTTTCTTTGTTTTTTTTTTGGTAGACTAGTTTTATTTTCTACGTTTTATCTATATTCATCTTGGAATATCAGAGGACAGATTATAGCTAATAGTAACAATCTCTTAATTGTTTTAATTAAGAAAGATGAAAGAATAGAGTTTTAATTATATTTGTGACAAACTGCTGAGGAGAAAATAAGCAAATATATTTAAGGTATTTTAACTGAAATAACTGACTGATAACAGTATCTATCAAAACAGAAAGTATATAAGTATTTCTCACTGATTTATAACAGTACTTTTATCTATTTTAGCCAAGGAAGATGAGATTGTATTTTATGATGCTGTTGAGGACAGTTCACAGTTAAGCCCTGATGAAGATGAAGAACAAATATCATCTTTTAGCAGTAATAGTGATTTAAATACCATTAGGAGAAAAATGACAGCTATCAATAAAAAGAGGGCTACATTGAGGAATAAGAAGGTAAGTGTTTTTCAGCAGTATGAATTTATATGTGTTTTGCTTTATACAAAAAGTGGTTGGACGTCATCACTGAAATAAGAAAAATTTTAAAAATGCCTACAGAAAATCATTCCATTGAACAATTGAAAGCTAACTTTGTTGGAATGTTTCTTTGAATATCTTCTTTCAAAATTACATCCAGGTTTGTCTAACTACCAAGATGGTTATCATGACTAAACATTAAATAATAAAAAATCAATCAGATTTTTCTAAATATCTTCAATTGGATAAATGCAATTGAATATTTTCACTTTGGTCATAAATATGGAAATAAAGTATTAATTTAATTGCTTTTATTTAAATGATTTAATGTAATGAATATTGTTTTGTTTTTGTAGACTGCAATAGAAAGGCAAAGAAAATCGAAAAAAGAAAAGAAAGTTGAGGAAGAAGAAAAATTACGACAACACCATGCAATACAAACTGTATGTTACTGATGGTTATGTTTTGTCAGGGAAAAATCCTGCTAGGAATGAGACATTATTGTGGTTTTTCTTGGTTCATTAACACCAAATGCTAAGTATTCTGATTAGTTCCTTTTCTTGGTTCATTAACACCAAATGCTAAGTGTTCTAATTAGTTCTTTTTCTTGGTTCATTTACACCAAATGCTATGTATTTTAATTAGTTCCTTTCCTTGGTTCATTAACACCAAATGCTAAGTATTCAAATTAGTTCCTTTTCTTGGTTCATTAACACCGAATGCTAAGTATTCTAATTAGATTAACACCAAATGCTAAGTATTTTAATTAGTTCCTTTTCTTGGTTCATTTACACCAAATGCTAAGTATTCTAACTAGTTTCTTTTCTTGGTTCATTAACACCAAAAGCTAAGTATTCTAATTAGTTCCTTTTCTTGGTTCATTAACACTGAATGCTAAGTGTTCTAATTAGTTCCTTTTCTTGGTTCATTAACACCAAATGCTTAGTATTCTGATTAGTTCCTTTTCTTGGTTCATTAACACCAAATGCTAAGTATTCTAATTAGATATAAGAAGATGTGGTATGAGTGCCAATGAGACAACTCTCCATCCAAGTCAAAATTTATTAAAGTAAACCATTATAGGTCAAAGTACAGTCTTTAACACGGAGCATTGGCTCACACCGAACAGCAAGCTATAAAGGGCCCCAAAAAATACTAGTGTTAAACCATTCAAACTGGAAAACCAACAGTCTAATCTATATAAAAAACGAGAAACGAGAAACACTTATGAACCACATCAACAAACGACGACTACTGAACATCAGATTCCTGACTTAGGACAGGTGCAAACAATTGCAGTGGGTTTAAATGTTTTAATGGTACCAAACCTTCACCCTTATCTGAAACAATAGTGTAACTTCACAACATAGAAAGACACACTATAAAATATCAATTGAAATGGCTTAACTCAATCAAAAGACATATTAGACACCAGTGAGCATACACTGAACAAATAAATTTGATCTATGATACAATGTAAATACAAAATAAATAAACTAAGGGAAGAATAATTAAAGGAACATGTTATAACGCTGTGAAATGTTAAACAATTTAGGAAAAACAATATGCTTGAACAAAAATATCAGTCATTTGCAATTACTTTAAACACAGGTGAATGAAAATAATTAGTTCCTTTTCTTGGTTCATTAACACCAAATGCTAAGTATTCTGATTAGTTCCTTTTCTTGGTTCATTAACACCAAATGCTAAGTATTCTAATTAGTATTCTAATTACTTCCTTTTCTTGGTTCATTTACACCAAATACTAAGTATTCTGATTAGTACCTTTTCTTGGTTCATTAACACCACATGCTAAGTATTCTAATTAGTTCCTTTCCTTGGTTCATTAACACCAAATGCTAAGTATTCTGATTAGTTCCTTTTCTTGATTCATTAACACCAAATGCTAAGTATTCTGATTAGATCCTTTTCTTGGTTCATTAACACCAAATGCTAAGTATTCTAATTAGTTCCTTTTCTTGGTTCATTAACACCAAATGCTAAGTATTCTGATTAGTTCCTTTTCTTGGTTCATTAACACCAAATGCTAAGTATTCTAGTTAGTTCCTTTTCTTGGTTCATTAACACCAAATGCTAAGTATTCTGATTAGTTCCTTTTCTTGGTTCATTAACACCAAGTGCTAAGTATTCTAATTAGTTCCTTTTCTTGGTTCATTAACACCAAATGCTAAGTATTCTGATTAGTTTCTTTTCTTGATTCATTAACACCAAATGCTAAGTATTCTGATTAGATCCTTTTCTTGGTTCATTAACACCAAATGCTAAGTATTCTAATTAGTTCCTTTTCTTGGTTCATTAACACCAAATGCTAAGTATTCTGATTAGTTCATTTTCTTGGTTCATTAACACTGAATGCTAAGTATTCTGATTAGTTCCTTTTCTTGATTCATTAACACCAAATGCTAAGTATTCTGATTAGTTCCTTTTCTTGGTTCATTAACACCAAATGCTAAGTATTCTAATTAGTTCCTTTTCAGAATAAGATCTTTTCAGACACCATTGTTATGCAACATTATTAAAGTATCAATGCATATGAGCTTTAACCAGTATGTTATGGTCTGTTTTCTATTTCATGCAGGAGTGTTTATACTCAAATGTTCAGTTTTCTGATTACTTCCATTTTAGAACAAGTAATGTTTACTGCCATTTGTTATATAGTTTGTTGTCAGAATATAATCAAAACAAGATTTCCATTTACCCCTGTGTATTGATATGTTACATGAAGACCTGGTAAAAGCTTTAAGTGTGGTTTATTACAGAATGCTGCATTTAGTAGTCTTATATACATATAAAAGACTGTACAGAAACATACACTGACATTGAATATTTGGAATGAGTTCTTGGCAAAATGTTATTTTATTTTTCTTGCCTACATTGTGTAGTTTGAATACTCATGGAAATAATACATTTTACATTTGCCTCCTCTGAAAACCTTTCAAAATGATATCAGAGAATTGTATTTATATTACAAGAATATATCAGATTCCTTAATGTGTCTGATAACAAACCACTCACCTTTAAAAGCTTATAAACATAAATTGTTTAGATCAAACATAATGTTCATGAATATGTATGTATATATATATATATACAATTGAGAATGGAAACAGGGGATTGTGTCAAAGAGACAACAACTTGACCAGAGAGCAGAAAACAGCTCAAGGCCACCAATGGGTCTTCAACTCAGCGAGAAAATTCCGCATCCGGAGGCGGGCTTTAGCTGGCCCCTAAACAAAAATGTATACTGGTTAAAAAAAAATGAACGTCACACTAAACTCCGAAACATATAAATGAACCAAAATTCAATTTAAAACATACAAGACTAACAAAGGCCACAAGGTTTGTGAGATCTCAACCCTCTCGCTATAGTCTTTTTTATGGTTTTTTGTAAGTTTGGCTATACATCATATTAGTTATACCTTAATTCCATTTACAGAAAATTGATAAGAAAAAGGAAGACACAACAAGAAAGGCTGATTTTATTGTGGAAGAGAGAATGAAAGCAATAGACAGAATAAAAATGCACAAAGTTGTAAGATTTTGATTTTCATATTGCATCAATTACTTCTTTGAAATGCATGTGAAATTATTTATTTTTGGTGTTAAAAAAAATTAATATAAAATAAATAGATGTGGTATGACTGCCAATGAAATAACTATCCAACAGAGGATACTTGAAAGGGATTTAGCTACTATAGGTCACTGTAGGGTCTTCAGCAAAACTCATACTGTATACTCAGTATACTCAGCTGTATAAGGCTCAGACATGACAAAATATGAAACAATTCAAACGAAAAAAAACAATGTCCCGATTTATGACAAAATGGTTTTGTTGTTGTTGTGCTTTAGAAAATTCTGTCTTGCAATAATTTGTTGTGCATCAAGTTATCACCACTACCCTGGACTTTAATATTAAGGAGTCCATAAGTTAAATCCCTAATTTATATACTCCTTTGATGATATTAACATGATAATACTGAGATTTTTATTAGACACATTTTGCAGACAGACATATGTTCTTTTGGGGGTATATTCCACTATGGTAGCATTTTTCCTTTTTGTCGAGCCTGCAACTTTTGTCGCAGAAAGCTCGACATAGGGATAGTGATCCGGCGGCGGCGGCGTTAGCTCACTTCTTAAAAGCTTTATATTTTAGAAGCTAGAAGACCTGGATGCTTCATACTTTTTATATATATATGCCTTAGGTTACAAAGTTTCCATCTGTCATATGTCCATTATCCTTGACCTCATTTTCATGGTTCAGTGACTACTAGAAAAAAAAGTCAACATTTTTTGTAATGTTAATTTCTTTCTTATTATGAGTAATAGGATAACTATATTTAGTATGTGCATACCTTGCAAGGTCTTCATGCCCGTCAGACAATTTTCATTTGACCTCCACCTCATTTCATGGATCAGTGAACAAGGTTAAGTTTTCGTGGTCAAGTCCATATATCAGATACTATAAGCAGTAGGTCTACTATATTTGGTATATGGAATGATTGTAAGGTGTACATGTCCAACTGGTAGGTGTCATCTGACCTTGACCTCATTTTCATGGTTCAGTGGTCAAAGTTAAGTTTTTGAGTTTTGGTCTTTTTTCTAATACTATATGCAATAGGACAACTATATTTGGTGTATGGAAATATTTTATGATGTACATGTCAGTCTCGCAGGTTTTATTTCACCTTGACCTCATTTTCACGGTTCATTTCTCAGTGTTAAGTTTTTGTGTTTTGGTCAGTTTTTCTTCAACTATAAGAATAGATCAACTATATTTGTTGTATGGAAGGATTGTAAGGTGTATATGTCTGTCTGGCAGGTATCATCTGACCTTGACCTCATTTTCATGGTTCATTGGTCAATGTTAAGTTTTCATGGTTGAGTTTGTTTCTTAGATACTATAAGCAATAGGTCAACTATATTTAATGCATAAATTGATTGTAAGGTGTATATGTCTGTCTGGCATGGTTCATCTGACCTTGACCTCATTTTCATGGTTCATTGGTCAATGTTAAGTTTTCTTGGTTAAGACTGTTTCTTAGAAACTATAAGCAATAGGTCAACTATGTTTGTTTTATTGAATGATTGTAAGGTGTACATGTATTTCTCGTTTGGTTTAACTGACCTTGACCTCATTTTCTTGGATCATGTTAAGTTTATGTGTTACTTGTAGTAAAGCTTTATATTTAGGACTATCAACATAAAATCAATGGTTAGTAAAGAAGGCGAGACATTTCAGCGTGTGCACTCTTGTTTATTGACTTGCAGCACCTCAAGATGATGGATTTGTGGCTTATCATTGAGGATGACCTTTAAACCTTGGCTTTTGACCTTTAAGTCAGAATAATCGATTTTTAAACATCCACCCGTAAACCATATATTTATTTATATCTTGCTGACCATGGCCAGACCTTTCAAATACACCGAATATATTCTAAATTGCGTTGACATGACCTTTCTAGTTCATCATAGGTTTTTTCCCCATGTGGCATCCCTTGCCCTGCCAATATCTTTGAAAATCCCCACTTATTAACCATATATGTTCTTAATAACCTTGATTAGACCCTTTTATAGTCCACCATAGATTTTTTTCCTGGTGGACATGCCCCAGCCCCTACTCATCAATTGTTCATATTTACACCCTTAAATCTATATATTCTTTATTGTCATGACACTTTACTTTATCCCTTGGTTCATGCCCTGTCCGCTTATATCAAACTTTACTCAACATGCTCAAGGGATGTCTTTACATGCTATAGATAAAGGTGAGACATATGTTTAATAGATATAAGAAGATGTGGTATGAGTGCCAATGAGACAACTCTCCGTCCAAGTCACAATTTGTAAAAGTAAACCATTATAGGTCAAAGTACGGCCTTCAACATGGAGCCTTGGCTCACACCGAACAGCAAGCTATAAAGGGCCCCAAAAATGACTAGTGTAAAACCATTCAAACAGGAAAACCAACTAAAATAGTTCCACTAAGTTTTTATACGACCGCAAAAATTAAAAATTTTTTGGTCGTATATTGGTATGACGTTGGCGTCGTCGTCGTCGTTGTACTCGTCGTCGTCGTCCGGCGTCGTCCGGCGTCGTCCGAAGACACATTGGTTTTCGCACTCTAACTTTAGTTTAAGTGAATGGATCTCCATGAAATTTCACCATAAGGTTCAATACCACGAAAGGAAGGTTGGGATTGATTTTGGGGGTTATGATACCAACAGTTAAGGAATTAGGGGCCAAAAAGGGGCCAAAAATAAGCATTTTTGTAACTTTCAGACAATAACTTGTGTGTAAGTGTATGGATCTCTCTGACATTGTACAACAAGGTTTCATATCACAAAGGGAAGGCTGTAATTGATTTTGGGGGTAATTGCCTCAAAATTTTAGGAATTAGGGGCCAAAAAAGGGGCAAAAAACAAGCATTTTTCTAGTTTCATGACAATAACTTGTGTGTAAGTGTTTGGATATTTCTGAAATTGTACTACAAGGTTCCATATCACAAAGGGAAAGCTGGAATTGAGTTTGGGGGTAATTGCCCGAAACGTTTAGGAATTGGGGGCCAAAAAGGGGCCAAAAATAAGCATTTTTCTAGTTTCCAGACAATAACTTGTGTTCAAGTGTATGGATCTCTCTGAAATTGTACTGCAAGGTACCATACCACAAAGGGAAGGCTGGGATTGAGTTTGGGGGTGATGAATCATAAGGGGGTTCAAAAAATTTGGGGGGGGGGGATTTTTTTTTTTTTTTTTTTTCTTTTTTTCCTTTTTTTTTTCTTTTAAAATTTTCCATTTTAAGTTGGTTATTTCTGATTTATATTTAAAAGCAAATAATAATGATATGGTAGGAGATACACACCAAACAGGATGTGTAAATTATTATATAATAAGTATTGTGCAATAGCAAGAAATTTTCAATTGCACAGTATTGCACAATAGCAAGAAATCTTCAATTGCACAGTATTGCGCAATAGCAAGAAATCTTCAATTTAGCAGTATTGCGCAATAGCAAGAAATATCCAATAACACAATATTGCGCAATAGCAAGAAATTGTCAATTGTACAGTATTGCGCAATAGCAAGAAATATTCAATTGCACAGTATTGTGCAAAAGAAGATACTTCGTATAAATTGCTTATTTCTTGATCAATTTCAATGGGGTTTTATTCTTGAATTCTTGGGGTTCTTTAATATGCTGAATCTAACCGTGTATTAAGTTTTTGGATTTTGGGCCCCGTTTTTAAATTGGTCCACATTGAGGTCCAAAGGGTCCAAAATTAAACTTTGTTTGATTTCATCAAAAATTGAATTATTGGGGTTCTTTGATATGCCGAATCTAACCGTGTATTTAGATTTTTAATTTTGGGTCCCGTTTTTTAAATTGGTCTACATTAAGGTCCAAAGGGTCCAAAATTAAACTTAGTTTGATTTTAACAAAAATTGAATTCTTAGGGTTCTTTGATATGCTGAATCTAAACATGTGTTTAGATTTTTGATTATGGGCCCAGTTTTCAAGTTGGTCCAAGTTGGGGTCCAAAATTAAACTTTGTTTGATTTCAACAAAAATTGAATATATGGGGTTCTTTGATATGCTGAATCTAAACATGTATTTAGATTTTAGATTTTTGGCCCAGTTTTCAAGTTGGTCCATATTGGGGTCCAAAATTAAACTTTGTTTGATTTCAACAAAAATTAAATATATGGGGTTCTTTGATATGCTGAATCTTACCATGTATTTTGATTTTTTATTTGTGGGCCCGCTATCAAATTGGTTCATATTGAGGTCAAAAGGGTCCAAAATTAAACTTTGTTTGATTTCATCAAAAATTGAATTATTGGGGTTCTTTGATATGCCAAATCTAACCGTGTATTTAGATTTTTAATTTTGGGTCCTGTTTTTTAAATTGGTCTACATTAAGGTCCAAAGGGTCCAAAATTAAACTTAGTTTGATTTTAACAAAAATTGAATTTTTGGGGTTCTTTGATATGCTGAATCTAAACATGTGTTTAGATTTTTGATTATGGGACCAGTTTTCAAGTTGGTCCAAGTTGGGGTCCAAAATTAAACTTTGTTTGATTTCAACAAAAATTGAATATATGGGGTTCTTTGATATGCTGAATCTAAACATGTATTTAGATTTTAGATTTTTGGCCCAGTTTTCAAGTTGGTCCAAATTGGGGTCCAAAATTAAACTTTGTTTGATTTTAACAAAAATTGAATATATGGGGTTCTTTGATATGCTGAATCTTACCATGTATTTAGATTTTTTATTTGTGGGCCTGCTATCAAATTGGTTCATATTGAGGTCAAAAGGGTCCAAAATTAAACTTTGTTTGATTTCATCAAAAATTGAATTATTGGGGTTCTTTGATATGCCAAATCTAACCGTGTTTTTAGATTTTTAATTTTGGGTCCCGTTTTTTAAATTTGTCTACATTAAGGTCCAAAGGGTCCAAAATTAAACTTAGTTTGATTTTAACAAAAATTGAATTCTTCGGGTACTTTGATATGCTGAATCTAAACATGTGTTTAGATTTTTGATTATGGGACCAGTTTTCAAGTTTGTCCAAGTTGGGGTCCAAAATTAAACTTTGTTTGATTTCAACAAAAATTGAATATATGGGGTTCTTTGATATGCTGAATCTAACCATGTATTTTGATTTTGGACATTGGACCATAATAGGTAAATTAAAAAAATTGAAGTTCTTAGACCACATTCTTTCTGTGTCAGAAACCTATGCTGTGTCAAATATTTAATCACAATCCAAATTCAGAGCTGTATCAAGCTTGAATGTTATGTCCATACTTGCCCCAACTGTTCAGGGTTCGACCTCTGCGGTCGTATCAAGCTGCGCCCAGCGAAGCATTTTATTTAATTGATTATGAGATGCTTTGTTGACTTAACCTTTCCACATTGACTACAGATCTATTAGTGATTGCAAAGTTGTTTTAAAAGGCATAAAAGAATTTCACTATGTTCTTCATAAGTTAACCAGCCACATTTCATATTTGAATATTAGAAATTTAAATTTAACTTGATTGTTGAAAATTTCATCTTTAAAATTTTGAATATAAATTACCAATGAATAACTGTCAATTCAGATTTTTTATACGCCCGTTTACGGGACGTATTATGGTATACTGTTGTCCGTCTGTCTGTCCGTCCGTCTATCCGTCGTCAACATGTCGGACATTAACTCAAAAACGCTTTAACCAATTTGCATAAAACTTTGGTGAATTGTTTATATCTATTGACGTGAGCTCCCTTTCGTTTTTTATAAATTTTAGATTTTACATTTCCGAGTTACAGGGTTTTATTCATAAAAAAAAGGGGGATTTTCCAGTTTTCAGATAAGAAATCAAAGATGCTTTCAGCAGTTCTTATGAAACTTTGATGAATTGTTTATATCTATTGATGTAAGCTCCGTTTAGAATTTTATAAATTTTACATTTTACATTTCTGAGTTATGGGGTTTTATTCATTTAAAAAGGGGGGATTTTCCCCTTTACATTTTCATAAATTTCTAATATGACATTGAGAATTAATTGAACTTTAATTGTTTATAGTCTGACAACAGATTTACTAAGTATTGCGCAACAGCACAGTGTATTCCACAACAGCAAAAAATCTTTAATTGAATATAAATTCAATTCATATAACCAATTTCAAGTTCTTTGACTACATTTATTCAGAAACCTATAATATGTCAAATATTTAATACAATCCAAATTCAGACCTGTATCTAGCTTGAATATTGTGTCCATTTTTGCCCCAACTGTTCAGGGTTGGACCTCTGCGGGCGTATCCTGCTGCGCTCAGCGAAGCAGTTTATTTGCATGCAGTTATTATAGTGATCGTTAATTAATAGACAAAAATTAAAGATAAATTATTGCAGTTGCAATAAATGATCATAAATGCTGCTATCAAATTGAAAATGTGAATTTTCATTCTCCTCACAATTTTCACAATAATAAAAATATTGCAAAAATTTCAGAATTTACAGTAAAGCAGTTTATTGATATCATAGCCTACTAAAACCAGAAAGTAGAATCGTTTGAATGTAGTTTTAACTCAGTATTCTAGGAGGAATAATTACTTATAATATATATATGCATTGTCAATATTTTTGTTTAGTCCTTCACTAGATTTGTGGCTGATGTAAACATACATTTTGGTAGTTGTTATTATTGTAAATGTCAAGATGTTTGTTAGATTTCTATTTTAAATCCCCATAGAAGGTCAGCAATGGTGTTTTATGAAAATCAGTATTGCCAACAAAATATAACATTATATTTCTTATATGTCACAGGTAAGAGAAACATAGGAAAACTAACAATGAAATTGTAAATAAAATATTTTTTTCAGAAATTTCCAACACCTGAAACCATTAAACCTCCAAGATACCAACCACCAAGTCAAAGGAAATCTTCGTCAACAGAAAATGCAGAAAAGACAGAGACACCAGTAAAAATACAGAAACCTCTAACAAACACTCAAAAGACAATTAAAATACCTGTCAAATCCAAGACAACAAAAAGTGATAAGCCAGCTCCAAAACCCAGATATTCATTAGAGAAGAAGAGGAACGGATCCTCATCTTCTAGTGAAAAAAGTGCTTCTCCTCCCACATCAGCTACTGCTGTACCACCACCACCTACTACTTCTGTACCGCCCCCTCCTCCTCCTCCTGGTGCACCTCCTCCTCCACCACCACCACCACCTCCTCCTCCTCCTCCTCCTCCTCCTCCACCTCCAATGGTGCCATCACCTTTGTCATCTGCAGGATCAGTAACAAAGAAGAGTTCTAAGGAAGGGAGACAACCAGAAGCATCACATAATGGAATGCCCGACTTGAAAACACTGCTATCTAAAAAGTCACTTTTAAAGCCTGTTGAAGTTCAGGAAAAGCCACAAGGTATGTTTATGTAACTGCATGGAATGTTTATATTGATATATTAATATTTCCCCTATATGTCACACTGTAATTTTTGGTGAAAGATTTCTCAGTATTCAACTATTTATCACATTGGTTTGCAATTGTAATTTATTAATATCTTGGTGAGTTGTAAGGAGTAAGACTCCTTTTGGATTGTGGTGATATTCACATTAGTGGTTCCACAGATATTGAACTTGAAATGTCAAAAATAAGTATTTTTATGTGTACTTTTTAATAATAACTAAAGTGTGATTTCATTTAATCAAATGAAATTTATAGACAATGTTGCACTAAATAAATGTATTCTCCATTTTAATTTCAACCATTTTGGGATTATTTGTTCAAGATTAATGTCCTTTTAATTACCAAAAACTAAGCAATTTTTCATATGTCTCTAAGTAATTCAAGGATAATATCACAAATGCTTATATCTAAACAATGCTAGGACACTTCGTCTTTTGTCTTAAGTTAGTTTTAACTGAATCACATGCACATTTTTATACGACCGCAAAAATTAAAAAAATTTTGGTCGTTTATTGGTATCATGTTGTCGTCTGAAGACAGATGGTTTCCGGATAATAACTTTAGTATAAGTAAAAAGAAATCAATAAAATTTTAACACAAGGTTTATAACCACTAAAGGAAGGTTGGGATTGATTTATGGTTCCAACTGTTTAGGAATTAGGGGCCAAAAAAGGGGCCCAAATAAGCATTTTTGTAGTTTCCAGACAATAACTTGTGTTAAAGTGTATGAATCTCTCTGAAATTATACCACAAGTTTCCATACTACAAAGGGATGGTTAGGATTGACTTTGAGGGGTTATGGCTCAAACCATTTAGGAATTAGGGGCAAAAAAAGGGGAAAAACAAGGGTTTTTCTGGTTAAAGGACAATTGAGACAATTAAAAAGCAGTGTAAAAGAGGGACGAAAGATACCAGAGGGACAGTCAAACTCATAGATCGAAAACAAACTGACATCACCATGGCCAAAAATAAAAAGACAAACAGACAAATAATAGTACAGATGACACAACATAGAAAACTAAAGACTAAGCAACACGAACCCCACCAAAAACTGGGGGTGATCTCAGGTGCTCCGGAAGGGTAAGCAGATCCTTCTCCACATGTGGCACCCGTCCTGTTGCTTATGTTATTACAAATCCGGTAAATAGTCTTAATTCGGTAAGTCACATTCGTGAAAAGGGAAGGGTATAGTAGTTACCACATAAGGAACATATCCGATATCATCTGTGAAACGGTTATTCCATTACGGTCAACCAACTCGTGATGGCGTCAGTAAAATTTACGAAGGGATGATTTCAACTTCACCATTTGGAACTCTTGGCTTAATAGCTTCCTTGTGAGCAGCAATCCTCTATCAAGGAAATCATGATAGGAAACACAAGCCCGGGAATATCGTATCAATTGGGAGATAAATACTCCGTATGCAGTCGCTGCTGGAATGTTGCTACATAGAAATGGAAAGTTCACAATTGGGAAGCTGAAATCATCTCTTTTGTCGTAAAGTTTTGTTTTGTTGTAAGGGAGGTTATCCAAATCAATTTAAATAACAATGTTTGATTACCTCCCTTACACTGCTTGTAAATTATGTATTAAGAAATGATGATTGTCTGAGATACTGACCATAACTTGAGGGAAAGAATTATCTTTTTTGAATAAGGGAAAGGGGGGAGGTGAAAAAAATTGGAGGGGGACAATTTTTCTCATTTCAGATTTCAGAAATTAAAAGAAAATTTCTTCAAATATTTTTTTTTGGGGGTTAATATTAAACAGCATAGTGTATTGCACAAACGCAAAAAAAACGGGGTAAAATGTTTTTTTTTTGGGGGGGGGGGGTCAATTTGCATAGTGTATTGCACAAAAGCAAAAAATTGAATATAAATTCAAATCATATAACCAATTTGAAGTTCTTTGACTACAGTTCTTCTGTGTCAGAAACCTATTATGTGTCAAAAATTTAATTACAATCCAAATTCAGACCTGTATCAAGCGTGAATATTGTGTCCATTTTGGCCCAAACTTTTCAGGGTTGGACATCTGCGGTCGTATCCAGCTGCGCTCAGCGAAGCAATTTATTAACAAATGTATGAAAATTAAACTTCAGTTTTAATGAATTTTTATGTAAAAAGTAAAATAGCAAAAATACCGAACTCTAAGGAAAATTCAAAACGGAAAGTCCTTTATCAAATGGCAAAATCAAAAGCTCTAATTAAAGGAAAACAACTGTCACATTCCTGACTTGGTACAGGCATTTCCTCATGTAGAAAATGGTGGATTAAACCTGGTTTTATAGCTAGCTAAACCTTTCACTTGTATGACAGTCACATAGAATATTATTTATTGAATAATCATGTGTATTTAATTTTCTAAGTAGACAAATTTTTCATATCAAAATATTTAAACTCATGTATGCTTTCATAGACTTTCAAGTCTCAATTCATCATTCCTTGTATCGAGGAAACTGTCAAATTTGTGGATTTTGATTGGTTACACCTACATGTATTACAATTCTTACACTTGATTATTTTCCGATATATATATATATATATATTTCAGAAGGCTACTCTTCAAAACAAAACCATGCAACTATGGTATTGATCTGTTTTTGTATTTTTTCCCCCTTTTTTAGCTCACATGCTCAAAAATGCACATCACTAGGCATCTGAAATCTTCTGTTAACTTTCCAAACAAATTTCTCCTTTGAAAATAATTGACCAATTGGAACCTTACTTGGCTACAATCATTATTTTGTAATTCATAAACTTAGCTGAACGTAAAACATTTATCAATATTATACAAAACTTTCACATGGGAGAAGCCACTTGCAAAAGTTGAGTGCATTTTCGAAAGAAAAAAAAATCTGGTCAAGATTTCGGCCAATTTGAATATCACAGTTTCCATTTAATAAAAATAAATTTGTATCATTATACTTGTTTTATGCAAATTAACAGGGGAGCAAACAAGCCTCCTGTTTGACTTAATACCGGTGTACATGTACTTGTTTTGATAAGAACAAATGAAGGATGGTTGTGAATAACAGATTTTTCAACAGTTAACATAGCAAATGTAGATGAGCTTCTGAAAACATTTTCTACAATTTTGTCAGTTTTGGTGACTTTTTATGCCCCACCACCAGGCAAAGGAGGCATTAAGTGTAACCCTTGTTCGTATGTACATATATACGTAAATTCCAAAATTGGTTTCCGTTCTTTAACTTTAGTGTGCCTCAACCAAATGTTATGAAACTTATACACAATGCTTTTTACCTTAAAACTCAGATCAAGTTGGAATTTGGGTTATCTAGTTATGTCCCTTTATAACGTTATATGCAAGCAGGGCATCATCTGTGTCCTCCATTTATTTTACACAAGATTCCATCAAAGATTAGAACTATTCACAACCACAAGATGAATTGAATATCAATTGAAAATACAATTTTTCATCAGTTTTATAAAAATGGGTACTGATGGGAAGAAATGAATCTTCTGTTCTCTTTCAAGTCTTAGGTTTTCTTTGATAATGTCTTTTATTTAAGATCCCTAGAATATCTCTTCAACATTTGTATATAGTTCAAACCTACAGCATCACTGAAAACTAATTAATGGTTGAAATGGGCGTATGGTGCAGTAAAATTAGTACAGTTAATGTTATTAAATTTCAAAATTTTATTGATTGAAACTTTATATGGAATAATATAACTTTACATTTCATCTTTCAGCTGTGGATCCAATGGAAAATATATTAAAAATGGTGAGAAATGGTATAAAACTGAGACCAGTAAAACATAAAGAAGACACAGACTCTGAATCAGCTGACACTATAAAATTTACTACTCCCAGTGATTCACATTTGAAACTTCTACATGATAGACTCAATCATATTAACAAGTTTACAAGAGAAAGTTCTCCTGAATCAGACAGCAGTGATGATGGAGAATTTGATTAGCTGTGTGTGTACATATTTTTTTTTATTTGTTGGCTTTTACAATAGATGACTTTTGCTGAAAATTGGAAAAAGTCATGCCTTGGTGTCAGGAAAATACTCTGCTCTCTCAAATCTTTGGTATTTTTGTGTAACTGGACTATTTTATATATGGTACTTAATTTAACAATTAAAAAAAAAGTCATTCAATGGAGGAATAATGCCATTGGTTGAAATATTAACAGAGACAGGTTTATGAATTTCACTTTGCATCACCTCTCTCTATATATACTTATATGTTTACTATAGAATATTGCATATTTATTTGTTTAAACTTTTATTGAAATCTAGCAAGTATTAAAATCATTATAATAAGTTATGATTCTGTACATTTCGTAAACAAAAGAAAAATGGGGAGTCTATACAGCTCAAGGTTCAGAGTCGTACCAGATCAGATTTAAAGTAAATCCCTTATCATAGAAGGAGAATTGTGATTCACATGTAGATTATTGAATTCCAATAAAAAAAATACACATTCTATGTAATAATACTGTACTTGTGTTTGTACTTGCAAGAATTGGGATTAAATTCAATTTCTATTAAATCACACAATTTAAAAGTTTAAAGTTTAAGTCTTGAGTCATTTACTAATTTATGCTAATGTTTAAAATGAACACAAATCACCCAAGCTTAACTATCTAGCTAGGTGCACATTTTATTCTGTACAATAAATCGAAAGGCCACTTCTAAGTCATGCAAATAACAGGACTTTTTTTTTACAAAAGGTGAATAGGAAATGGTTCTGGGCAGGAGATAGATAAATAATGTCAATATTAGGTGGTTAAGTGGATTCCACTGTATACGTATAATAAATGAGACTGAAAGTTCATACACCAATAAAATAATAATGGTCCAGTATGCCTGGTCATTGCAAACTTGTTCATATTTTAAAGGGATACATATCATACAAAAAATTGTTAGGGCTATTTCAGACTTGCTTGAACTTTTATTGAACTAAAGCTTTGACGTGCATTTATTTTATGCTAATGATGAATAAATAGTAGGTTGTAAAAAGAACATTGTTAATTGCCTTAATTTTCACAGAAATATTTACTTTTAACTTCTAATTTCAATTTAAGTTCGTATTTAGATGATATTAAGTTAATGTGAAACTTAACAATACCTCTGTTTTAAGAAATTCTTGCATTCACTACATATTTTTTGATAGAATGAAGTAAAGGTGAAAGTGAAACGTAACAATACCTCATGTTTCTCATCCCTTGATATATATATCTAAACTAAACAGTTGTTTCTTCACCTCTCCCCTTTAATCTCAGTGAATATTTAATGAAGAATTTGATAATACATATCTATTTTAAAATCACTTAGATGCAAAATTTGTTTTATTTGATGTGCCAAACAAATCCATCAACACACCTTATCCTGTACTAAACAACATCATCCATTTTATTTTTACATTCAAATATGTGTGAAAATTGTGGGAATGATGTTTTGATATCAATAAAAACAAGTACAAATGATAAATATTCCACTAAGACTCTTTGTTTAGAAAAGTGGTTAAAGAAATTGACAACCACTTTTAAAATAAATATCACTCCATTGACCAGTGCAGTTTTGTTTATCATTGACAAAAAACAAAGAGTGTTGTGTTTTAACATTACATCTATCTTATTATTGAATCATGTTTCCCAAATGTGTGAACACTTATTACACGTGTTTTGTGATTTTACTGGTTAGATATAACCTTGAATGTTTGTAATCAAGAAATTAATTATTTATTGAAATTTCTGTGATATTGAGAATAAAGACAGTTATGATTGTTGAAATGATTTCATCATATGTTCCAAAGTATCACAGGTACATCATGTCTATTAAGTTTAAATATATTGTGTTGAAAACAACAAAATAGATCCGACACAAGTACATTGTACATGTGAAGTCTTCTCTTGGATACTATTATAACAATATTATATTTGAGTATTTATTTACATTAAACAAAGAATTATTTGAATCTGGAATAATTTTGAATTCTGGAAAATTGATAAGAAATGTATGATGAAAACTAACCTAACTAAAGAGGAAGGTTAATCTTAAATTCACTGATATTTCAGTATGAACTAACTAACCCCCCTTAGCCATGCATGCATGCATCAATAGCTAACCCTCCTAAATTGGGTTAGTTTTCATCATATATATCTTATCAATTTTCCAGAATTCAAAATTATTCCAGATTTAAATAATTCCTTATTATTACGTGAATATAAATTGACACAAAATATGCATAATTCAGAGTTAAGAGGAAAAAATAAGTAGGATCCGGTGATCGATATGGATACTGAAAAAATCCAAAGTCTGTTAGAGTATACACAATATAAGTCTTTTCCTCTTGCAATAATATGAAAACATTTTCAAAATCATGACAATGAGGGTCAGTTGAGAACAAAACTTTCCATTTCAATGTAGCAACATTCCAGCAGCGCCTGTATATGGAGTATATATCTCCCAGTTGACACTATATTAATTGTTGAGCTTGCATTTCCCATCATGATTATATCTTGACAGAGGGTTGCTGCTGACAGGGTAGCTATTGATTGTGACATCACCTAATGAGAAGTATCACAGAATTTTTAATTACCATGATCAACATGCCGGGTGCCACATGTGGAGCAGAATCTGCTTACCCTTCTAGAGCACTTGAGATCACCCCAGGACATGTTAGGGTTTATGTTGGTCAGTCTTTAGTTTCCCATATACTGTTTTGTGGATTTGTTGGACTTTTTTCGTATTTTGCCATAATGTTGTCAGTTTCTCTTCCACTTATGAGTTTTAAATGTCCCCTTGGTATCTTCTGAAACAGTAACTGCACTATTCTAAACCATAAATACCTTCATTGTTTTCCATGCAGTTACCCTAGTTAACTAGTCCTTATATCATCATCATAGTTCAAAGGCAAAACAGTGATTACATTGTTCAAGACAAATTAGCAAACTTATTGATAATAACAAAAGAGTACTGTATGTAAATTCAGAAATTATTGCATGCATTTATTATTGCGATTTTGTCATTTTAGACTAAAATGCGATTTTAATTTTTGCCATATTGAGAAAAATCCTGTTTAATTCATATAAAAAAAATTCAAAATGCGAGTTTAAATTATTGCGATTATAACCCTGTCGCATTTTTCGCAATAATAAAAACATCGCAATAATTTCTGAATTTACAGTAAACTCTTTGAGAGAGACAATTCCCTCATAGTTAAAGACAAACAGTGACATCATTGATCAAGACAATCTAGTGATCTCACTAATCAAGACAAAACAGTAACCTTATTATCAAGACAAAAACAGTGAAATCATTGATCAAGACAATCTAGTGATATCACTAATCAAGACAAAACAGTGAAATCAGTGATCAAGACATTCTAGTGATATCAATAATCAAGACAAAACAGTGACATCATTGGTAAATCATTGCAATCTATTGATCAAGACAAAACAGTAAACTCATTGATCAAGACAATCTAGTGATCTTATTGATCAAGACAATCTAATGATCTCATTAATCAAGACAAAACAGTAACTTCGTTGACCAAGGTAATCTAGTGATCTTATTGACCAAGATAGTCTAATGATCTCATTGATCAAGACAATCTAATGGTCTCATTAATCAAGACAAAACAGTAACCTCATTGATCAAGTAAAAAACATTAAGCTCATTGATCAAGACAAATTAGTGATTTCACTGATCAAGATAGTCTACTGAACTCATTAATCAAGACGAAACAGTAACCTCATTGATCAAGACAATCTAGTGATCTCATCGATCAAGACATAACAGTAAGCTCTTTCATCAAGACACTCTAGTGATCTCATTGATCAAGACATAATAGTGATCTCATTAATCCAGACAAACTTTGACCTCATTTTTTAAACAAAACTGTCACCTCAATGTTAAGACAAAACAGTAATCTTATTGTTCAAAAGATAAAAGTAACCTCATTGTTCCAGACAGAACACTCACTTATCAAGATAAAACAGTGACCCCAATGTTCCAGACATACAAGGACTTTCGTGTTCAAGACAAAATTGTGATCTCATTGATCAACAAAAACAGTGACCAAGACAAGACAGTCATCGCATTGATTAGGACAAAACAGTCATCTCATTCATTGGTCAAAGCAAAACAGTCATCTCATTGTTCAAGGCAAAACACTGATAGCATTGTTCAAGACAAAACATGCATCTCATTGACCCAGGACAAAACAGTCATGTCATTGATCCAGGACAAAAAAGGGATATCATTGATCCAGATAAAACAGTAATCCCATTGTTCAAGACAAAAAAGTCATCTCATTGATCCAAGACATACCAGTTATCACATTGATCAAAGACAAAAGCAGTCATCTTATTGATCCAGGACGAAATGGTCATCTCATTGATCCAGGACAAAACAGGGATCTTATTGATCCAAGATAAAAACAGGGATATCATTGATCAAGACAAGACAGTCATAGCATTGATCAAGACAAAACAGGGATCTCATTTGATCAAGACACAACAGCCATCTCATTTTTCAAGGCAAATAGTGATATCATTGTTCAAGACAAAACAGTTATTTCATTGATCAAGACAAACAGTCATCTCTTCGATCCATGACAAAACAGGGATCTCATTGTTTGAGAAACAACTGTGAACTCATTGATCCTAGACAAAACATTAATATCATGTTCAAGATAAAACATTGATCTCATTGTTCAAGACATAACAGTAATCCCATTGTTCAAGACAAACCAGCGACCTCATTGATTAAGACAAAACAGTGATCTATTTTTTCAAGAAAAACAGTGACCTTTTGTTCAAGACAAAACAATCATCCCATTGTTAAAGACAACAATGACATTATTTTTCAACACAAAACAGTCATCTCATTTTGTTTTTCAAGACAACAAAACAGTCATCTTATTGTTCCAAGACAAAACAGGGATTTCATTGTTTTCAGGACAAAACATTGATCTCATTTATTCAAGACCAAACAGATCAATAAATTATCAAAACAGAAAGGTGACCTCATTATTCAATACAAAAATTATGATATCATTGTTCAATACAATACATTAATCCAGACAAAAAAAAGTGATTTTATTGTTGAAGACTAAACAGCGATGTCAAAGTTGAAGACAAACGATTGATAACATAACTGTAGACAAAACAATAACAACATTTTTACAACTATAAAACAGCAACATATTTGTTGAAAGCCCTAGTAAGTTAGATTTTTTGTCTCACATACGACGAGTTTCAGAATTCAAGACATATGGATAACAATCCTGCAGCAGCGGTTTATATTAACTTTATATTTCAGTGGGTAAAAGACCTGGAGGCTACGCACCTTGTATACAGATGCCTTATGTTACGAAGTTTCCGTCTGTCACATGTCCATTGTCATTGACCTCATTTTAATGATTCAGCGACTGCTTGAAAAAAAGTTGTTTTTTTTTGTCATGTGAATTTCTCACTCATTATGAGTAATAGGATAACTATATTTGGTATATGGGTTCCTTGCAAGGTCTTAATATCCATCAGACAGGTTTCAACTGACCTCGGCCTCATGTCATGGATCAGTGTTACGTGATTAGATCCAGTTCTCTGATACTGTTAGCAGTAGGTCAACTATATTTGGTGTATGGAATGGTTGTAAGGGGTATATGTCAGTCTGGCAGGTTTGGTTTTACCAGACCTTGACCTCATTATCACGGTTCATTGGTCAATGTTAAGTTTTTGTGTGTTGGTCTGTTTTGCGTGTACTATTAGCAATAGATCCACTATAACTAGTGTATGGAATGATTTTATGGTGTACATGTCAGTCTGGTAGGTTTTATTTTACCTTGACCTCATTTTCATGGTTCATTGGTCAATGTTAAGTTTTTTGTGTTTTGATCTGGATTGTTTTATACTATAAGCAATAGGCCAACTATATTTGGTGTATGGAATGGTTGTAAGTTGTATATGTCTGTCTGGTAGGCAGGTATCATCTGTCCTTGACCTTATTTTGATGGTCCATTGGTCAATGTTAAGTTTCAGCACTTAAGTCCTCTTCTTAGATATTGTAAGCAATAGGTCAACTATATTTGGTGTGTGGAATGTATGTAAGGTGTACATGTCTGTCTGTCTTGGTTAATCTGATCTTGACCATTTTTCATGGATCATTGATAGTGTTAAGTTAATGTGAAACTTGCAGTAAAACTAAGTCTTTAGGACTATCAACATAAAATCAATCACGCGAGACATTTCAGCATGTGCACTCTTGTTTTAATTTGTACCTTCTTTCTAGTGTATGAATGTTGAAACGAATGTGCAATTACATATTTTTATACGACCGCAAACAAATTTTTGTGGTCGTATATTGGTAAGACGTTGGCGTCGTCGTCCGAAGACACGTTAGTTTTCGCACTCTAACTTTAGTTTTAGTGAATGGATCTCAATGATATTTTACCATAAGGTTCAATACCACAAAAGGAAGGTGGGGATTGATTTTGGGGGTTATGGTATCCACAGGTAAGGAATTAGGGGCCAAAAATAAGCATTTTTGTAACTTCCAGACATAACTTGTGTGTAAGTGTATGGATCTCTCTGACATTGTACCACAAGGTTCCATATCACAAAGGGAATGCTGGGATTGATTTTGGGGGTAATTGCCTCCAAATTTTAGGAATTAGGGGCCAAAAGGGGCCAAAAACAAGCAATTTTCTAGTTTCATGACAATAACTTGTGTGTAAGTGTATGGATCTTTATGAAATTGTACTACAAGGTTCCATACCACAAAGGGA